GATGCCAGCTGTTCCATAAATCTGTTCCATAAACAATGAAAAAATTGAAGTATACAATATGGAACAGCATGTTCTTGTTTATCTGGAAACAGCCGTATTCGAATAAATATTTTGTGTTCAGCTGATTGTTGGATAACAGTATTTGTGCGAATGAATTTACAAAGAACAATGTTCAAAAATATGGGTAGAATTTTTACTTCCACTTTCATATGCTTTATCTAGTTTTTATTGTATTATTTGTGCTGCTGTTTCAAGTAGGGCTCACAATTGAGCTGTGTTTCAAAATAGGTACTTTTACCATGATACATGCTCACCGAAAATATGCCTACAAAGAGTTAAAGCGAAATTCAAAGTATTTTGGTAGATGCAGCCCACGCAGAGTTAGATATTATTCGAATAACTTTCCATCTGGATAATTATGCGAACGAATGATTGAATAATTTTATTCGCGATTAATTTTATTCACGAACATGCCACTACTACCTTACTCGCGAATAAATTATTCACGAATAATTTATTTGCGAATAATTCATTCGCGATTAATTCAATCCGGAATTATTCATTCGCGAATAAAATGTTATTTGTCTTTGCGAATGGAAATAATTGATTTCTAAGCCATTATTCGTTGACTACAATGATGTATATATCGTTTCTTCGCAATGCCAATTTATCTACACGTCTAAAGCAACGGCTAAAAAGACCATTAAAGACTCATTGAATAATTTCAAAAGACATTGGATATTTATTCTTCTTGCTACTATTATTTATTATACTACTGCTACAAGTTGTAGTCTACTTTCCCATCTAAAATACTATAATTTTCTCTTGAACGACTTTTTTGTAACGTTACAAATATGAGAATAATTAAGTGTGACAGAGTTAAGCAGGTCACCCTGTATAATATCTCTCTCTCTCTCTCTCTCTCGGCGCACGGGTTATGTCAAGGTTATTCGTGAATTATTCGCAAATAAATTATTCGTGAATAATTCATTCACGAGTACGGTAAATAGTGGCATATCCGTGAATAAAATTAATCGCGAATAAAATTATTCAATTATTCGTTCGCATAATTATTCAGATAAAAAGTTATTCGAAGTTTTCGACAAATTAAATAATTTCTTTTACCTTTATCGCACTTCTTAGAACATTTCAATTATATGTTGATATCTTTTATGTAAAGAACACGAAGTATTTAACAAAATGGACAAAACAGTTTTCGAGCGAGTTACTGGGCCCTCAACAAAATGAAAAGTTAATTTCTGTGCGTCAGTTGCTGAGCTTTTTCTTCATTCATTTCTGTCCACCGTTGCAGTTGTAGGTATGTCAATGTCTATACTCTGATCTAATTACTGTACTTCAATTATCGTAATCAGTTTTAAGTAAATAATTCTATAACAAAAATATAAAAACGTGAAATATACTGTACTAAATTATTAAACATAATTTATTATATATGATTCAATACTTACGCTATTATTAAAAAAAGAGAAAGTATATCAGGTGGTGTCACATTAATTGACACATTTGTCTTATCGTTGGCTTTTAGTTCAACACATCTTATACTACGTTCAACGAGAGAGAATTGACACAAAATGTGGACGGTACGTTCATGTGATCGGAGCTGCTCAGAGACGAATTTTAGGGGACCCTCATCGAGGGTCCTTGCATGCCCGAAAATTGTGATTCGGTCCTGGCCCGATCACGTTCCGCTCGCGTGATTATATTTTATACCAGTTCTCGTTGAACGAAGTATAGTATATGGTGTGCGAGTGAGAATTCGTCATTCGCGAATAACGAATGAAAATCTTATTCTCATTCGAATAAACCCTTTTCGAAAAAATGTAGTAATCCGTCATTTGCGAATTAAGAATTAAAATTCTATTGTTATTCGTTATTCGTCAACCGAATAAATTTGTCCCGACTCTGAGCTCACCGAACAGTTTCTTGCTCATTGTCACGAACCTCGCACAGGATTTCATGCTCGACAAATGATTATCGGGGCAAGTATGAGTCAACGTGCATGACTAGGAAATCCCAATTAGCGACGTTATCTAGGTAAAAAGAGACTTTCGAGAAGAGTAGCCTGTTTCGAGACGGTTATTGTGAAACATTTGAATTCCGGTTGCAGGTGCATTCGATGAAGGATAGATACACTTTCATTTTACGAGCGGCGAATAATTTGAACATCACTATTGGACACCAAAGTAAATTTTTCGCCGACACTTGTGACGCGGAGCGAATGATGAGGCAAAAGCGCCGCCGACTAAGCGCAACCTGAGAGGCTTGAACATCTCTCAGGCAACATCAAATACAGCAAAATGAATTCAACGAGGAAGCAAAATGGTTGCTGTATAGGCCTGGTATGACGGATTAGCCTCTGACTGCGCTAAGTTTCAAACAGCTATAACTTTTTCGAACCGAAAACTTTAAATGTGCTTTTCTCGAAATTGTGTTTTCAGAGTATGCGTACACGATAGAGAAAAAACTATTTCAACGATTGACTTCCCCGACCATTTTTTAGTTAGTTAATACTTAACTATATTCGATGAATTAAAAACAATCATAAAAATATTAAGTTATATAAATGTTTTTGCATAAATAAGTCGATTGTTCGCTCTAAAAACCGTAATCCGTTTCCTAAAAATCGTCATATTTTTCAGAGTTTTCACTATTTTAGAAAGTTTGCTGGTTCATAGCTGATAGAATTTCGCGTAGAATAAGAAAAATCTCTGTTTGTTTTGTGTCAGACAAAAATTGAATCTGCTAAGTTTGTTCGAAAACCAACAACTCCGCGGCGCAACCTACGAAAGTGGACAATTATAGCAATATTAAGAGGCTTTATAGTTAACGCAAAGATATTTTTGTATTGACTAAATGTTCAATAAAACTCTCCTAAACGGCTGAAAAAGTTCAATTTATAGTTGTAGGGGAAAAAATTCTTAAAAATCACTAATATTTCAACGTCGAAAAGCAGATTCCCAATATCTCAAAATCTCTCGCACAAGTTGCTCTGACAAATACTCGCAAATTGTTTATCCATTTGAGGGCAGCTTCGAGTCACTGATCCTTCTCACGCAATTTCTTGATCTAATCAACTACAATGATAATATACATATTTCCGTTACGATATAACGTGACTCGCAGAGAGCTACTATCATAATAACAAAACCGGTTTGTATTGCGAGAGTAGATGTCTGACAGTGGCTCTACCGCGTTGCCACGGTAACTCGAAGCCAGTGTAGTCACGAAAAGTCACTACGCAAGGAGTGGGGTGGCGACGCATGCGCAAGGACTCTCGCACAGCGGGGTAGGGCGTCTACCGGGCGACCTTTATAATTCTGAACTACCATGGCCAATTCGTGACGCAAAGCCTCTATCCGAGGAGTTGTAATGTTCGTCCCGTAGACGCCCCACGCCGCTGTGCGGGGCTCTCGCGCATGCGTCGACTGCCCCCACTTCTTGACTTTTCGTGAGCACCCTGCTCGAGCCTCGAGACTTATAGGGCAACTAGGCTAGTGAAGCCAGTTACTGTGGCGTAGCCAATTACTGTGCCTTCGGTTCATTTTCAAGCATAATTAGCTTTATATTTATCGAATAAGACATATTAAATTTGTTTATTTAAATTCAATTAATTATTTCTTTGTTAAAATGAAACATATAAAAAGCGGAAGTTCTTAAAATATCACAAAACTTATTTCAATTTTTTGATACTGAATTCTGTACAGATTATCAGAAAGCTTAAGAAGATATTGAACGGATGAAGATCAATAATCGGTAAAATAAATCGTTTCAGATAAGATATCACAATGTTAACTGTATTAATCAAAAGTATTAAGATTACGGGAAAACAAAACAGTGATTATTTATTTATTTATTAGCAAATGCGGGGTTGTTACATGTACATATGATTTTAATAAAAACTTATCTTTTTTGACGTTTTTCTCACGAACATCTTAGCTAATCTTAACATTTTTACGTTCTATTTATTCTGTAAATATATTAGGTACTAATAAACCTTGAACATTTCATAAAAATAATTAAAAGATGAAATCAACTTGATTAGTATTTCTACTGCGTCAGCGCATTACATTTGAAAGTATTAACCATGACTAATTATCCTTTTTTAATTACTGATTTTTATAGAATTTTTGTAGAATTATTTTTGTAGAATTCTCTCAAATATTTAAAATATATTTGGAAATCAAATACGTAAGACAAATGACTTTGGGGCTATTGTTATTTCATCAATTTTCGGTTATGTATCGCGAACAATAATTATAACAATATATCGTGACTATAAAAATTCTAATATCATCACACTAGAACTTCCATGTGAAATCTGCATTTTTTAGGCCATTTTGAGGTTTTTGATATTTTACGAGCAGGATTTTCAATTTAAAAATCTGAAAAAATTACGGAGTATGTATATAGATGTTTGACATATCCCAGATTTTTCTCAGAATTTCTAAACATCATTAACAAGGAAAAATCGGTCAAAAAATTGATTTTTCGATTTTAAACTATAACCACCCTCCCGATCGAGATATAGGGTTAAAATTTTACACAGTATGTTTCACTTGTATCCTTTATCTTTAAGTTCATAAAAAATGTCAATTAAATTGCTAAAATGTTTTTAGCAGCCAAAACACCTGAAGTCCTTCTCTCCATATACAGGGTGTACCAAAGGTCGCTCGTAATCGGGAAATGAGGGGTTCCTGAGTTTATTCGAAGTAACTTTTTTCTTAACGCAAATGCAATCCGCGGCTTTATTTGTGTTTAGTTATTAATGAAAAACTGTGACAAATTAGAGTGGAACTGGGTTTCGTCCGCTCGTTGGCTCAGTCGCTTTGCGCCCTTTGAGCTCGCCTCTCATTGGTCAGTGTTTTTCGTTAATAACTGATAAACAAAGCCTCGGATTGCATTTTCGTTAAGGAAAAAGTTTCTCCATATTACCTAATTTCCCGATTGCGAGTGACTTTTGGGACACCCTGTAGCGCTCCTAGAACTATCTAGAGAACTCCTCTGCCCTATTTAGTTTCAGATGGACACACGCCTTTACCTTCTCGGACTCTAGCCGTGAACATCGAAGGAGACAGGATGCAGCGCGAAGGAAAGAGGAACCAAGAAGGACGGCGACACTCGCAAAAAGATTGCCGTGGCTGAGGACGGCCGACGGAGTGGTGGCGGACGAGAAAAAGAGTGACCGGGAAGTGAGAGGGTGAGGACGATGTAGAATGCAATACGTACTGAGATATGGAAAAGAGAATCGTACAGTGAAGAAGGATAAACAGATCGGTCTGGGAAGGGATCCGCGGGGAATAAAATCGATTTCATTGACAGGAGATAACAAGAAAGGAGATGCTGAAGCGAAGACGGAGTGGGGGAGAGATCCGGAAGAGTGGCGAGGGAATCGCTGGTATGATGGACAGTCCGCGAAAAAGGAAAACGACGTCGCATAAATAGAGGAAGAAAACAGAAGGTTGAAGACATGTATAAAGGATAGTGGTAGAGTCAGGAAAAAGGAATGGTGAGAATCTAGTGAAGCGAATGGAAAGAATTGATGGGACGTACACAGAGTTTGGCATTATTCGAGTTGTTCCGAATCAATATTTATCCGAGATTATTATCCGAATGAATTCTTTTTAGTCGAACGTTTTATTCGAATAACGGATTAATCATTATTTGTCATAAATCATTCTATCTATTTACTCGAATACATTATTCGCATAATTCTTTGTTCAGGATAGATTATTCGAGTGGAGATTGTGAAATTATTCGAACAAGTTATTCAAAGAGAGATTGTAAAATTATTCGAACAAGTTACTCGAATGAAGATTGCAAATTTATTCGAATGGAAATTGTAAAATTATTCGAATAAGTTATCGCTGTACGCTGTGTTACTTCAAACTAGAAACATCCGTTTGTTTATAACGAAGCTGAATTAATCGATCGATTACAGTCATTGAAAGTTTCACGGAGACGATCAAAGATTATGATGACAAATTTTTGTTATCGTCAATTTGCACGTGCAACGTAGCAACGTAAACATCAATTCATCTTCTGAAATCACTCGTCTCTGAGAAGTTTTAAACTTGAAGCCATTGGAATTGTACTATTATCGCGGCTCCACTAGAGGCACACCGAAGCAAGAAATTAGCAGTTTTTATCGACGCTCGTACAGCTTTTATCGCGGCTCCAATGTAAATGTATCCTTACGCTAACGTCAGTCCATGATAACGATGAATCATAAATTGTCTGAATGCGTAACCACTGTTCCATCAATCTATCATTTGATCCAATTTACAATATTTCACTTGTGTGAACGTTCGGAACGAGAACTATAATTTCCAAATTAAACGATCTTCGATCTAAATATTTTAATACTTTTTTTTAAAGAAAATACAATGATGCATTTACTTGAAGAAAAAGAAATATATGATACTTCACAGAAAAAATTCTAGTTACCTTTATTATTTTAGTAAGTAAACAATTTTTTTTATTAATTTTCATTAACATCGTTTACTGTTACAGTAATTTCCAAAATCCTTCTTTTTTTATATTATATTATAATATGTACTGCGTTTAAATTCTCTCCATGTTCAAAAGAATTAGAAGAAATGACGCACGTCAATATAGTTTGTTTAAAATTGTACTACGCAATCTTTTGCGAAATTTAGTACTTCGTACGCCTCAACAACGTTATTAACGTATAGCTATTTATTTTTCGGTAACAGTATCGTCGACGTATTCGATCAGTTGGAAACAAATTTAACTAATTCCACGGGGCACGCATTCATCTGTATATGTATATTCGCTTTCACGAGTTGCAACAGGAATAAATCGTAAACTCAGTAATTTAATTACCGTATGTCACGCATTTTCTGTAGATTCTAAGCGAATACGTTTCAATATTCTACGGCGCAATTCACAATTCACCCGCGGTATAAATTCCTTATGTTACAACTTTGCTTTTCACGGAACAGTCAGGGAAAAAGTTTGAGAAAAAGCTGATGCTTTTATGAAACGATCGTTCCTCGTATTACCCAGAAACCACTGGGTACATAGCCATTTCTGTATTTCGTTTGACAAAATTTTTGTGTTCTTCTGAAAACATCGCTATCCCCATTCCAAATATTTATTTAATAAAGTTTTAATAAATTAGGTACAAAGTTACTTTGTGTCAACGAATGTATTAATTTCATCTTTTTGTAATTCTTCAATTTTTTAATTTTTATTTCACTTTTGTATTTCTTATTTCTTTTTATTCATTTTTTTATATTTTTAATTTCTATTATTTTTTTTTATTTGTCGTGTGTATTAACTGAAACGATATTGCAATATAAATAATGTGTTATCGGATTCACTATAATGTACTTTTAATTTATTATGACATATACACGTTAATTGAATCTATTTGGATCGTATCGGTGAATTATTTAAACCTGTCAGATGTGTGAATCTTTTCTCAAATATTTATTCTCTCATGACGAAACATTCTAGATACAGTTAGAAGATAACAAAATGAGCGAAATTAATCTCGAAAATTTGTTGATTAGCCATGTGTACCAGCTCGTTATCTGTAATACAGCAATGTGAATTCGTGACTTCGAACACGTCAAATAATAGGAACGAAAGCATTGCTGAATTACTAACGTTTTCGTCCAAAACTTTTATACAACTGTAAAAACTGCTGTTACTTTTTATGCGTCGAAATTGTACAAGGTAATTTAATTTAAGTTTTCTATATTTTTATACATTGTTATAATCAAAAGAAGATCAAATTACTATCTCGTTAAAATTATTCAATCGTTATGTTAATATTTAGACTAATAAAACTGTGTCGTTATAAGCATGTATTGCAATAAATTATAAGTTTTCCATAATACTTCTATTTCTAACTATTTTCTTATAATAGTTGTCAGCAGCAATTATCAGATACAATAAATAAGCGTTACTTGGAAATGTTCCTGTAATAGTTCTGTAATTTCTGTAATAGTTTCAATTACTTCGAAGTAGTGTATCAATATTCTCCGATACTTTTAATCTTTTTTTTTGTTTAAATTGACACCTACATATTTACTACACACTTTATTTCATCTAATCAATATCGAATAATAAAATCTCATCGATGATTGCCAGAATGAAACTGCGAATTTTATGCACTTATGACAAAAATGAGTACATACATCGAATACAGTTATTTTCAATTCCATAAAATCATTAAAGAGCTATAGAAATGACTATGCAACTTCTGTATCTTGCAATTGATGCAGGCAATTTCTGTTTTGCATGAAAATCCCGTAGTCTAGTTAAAAGCATCCGAAATCAATTTTCCTAATTGATGACGGTAAATAAATAAAATAATGTAATGTAAGTAAATAAAACAAATAAAATAATGTTATAATTTTTAGTAATCATTAGTAAATTATCAAAGTAATCATTAGTTAGTCATTTTTAGTAAGTTGAAAATGACATACACGAACAGTATTAAATTTTTAAGATATAATAATAAATGCATAAGATCCACAATCTAGTTATATAACAACAATCTAGTTATATAACTATTGTTTATTACTAAACCGATTTTAATCGAAATAATAATTGGTATGCACGACTTTTTCATACTAATTATAACAGTTATGATCTTGGAAAATGAAACATGTGCTTCGTACAATGCATGCATGTTAATACGACATTGTTTGCTTGTTTTGTTGTTTAGATTTTCCCCTTTCAAATATTGTGACACACATTTATGAGATATCCTGCATAATATATGGTCAAAATACAATTTCTTATAAACGACCGGAATAAAAGTTCTCTCAATAACATCTTTTAAATCAACATTATGGATCCTTATCCGAAATAAAAATAATAATTGCTATTAATAATCATTGCTAGTAATTGCTGTAATAATTGTTAGATGCCGAATCTACATGGACAATTCTATAAATGTTTTCCCTCCTCAATAATAAAATAAAACGTTTCGAATTAAAACAATAATCGCGACGCAACGAGTTTTTTCGTATCGACTGTAAAACAATTACGATCCCCGCTCACAAAATGTGATTTTCATGGTCGACTTCCGCGGCTAACAAATGAATAGTTCAACTTCAGAATCGGTCGGTGACGTACGAAATATCCCGGCAATCCTCTCGCCGTGGAAGATCAAAACAATCGACGTAACGGAGTTCCCTCGAAGTGGATAATAAATCCTGGCTAGCTAAAAGTTATTAGGATTCCGATGGAGGCGATCTTGCGAGAAACAGGACAGCCGGGAGAAAAACCCATGGAAATGCAAGCGGTTATAACGGCGCGGCGCGTTCGTTCAAACGACTCGCGTCTCCGCGCGTCCATATAGCGGAGAGAACCACACCGGACAAAGTTGCGTTTAGCATATGACTCTGATAACCCACGGGCACCGATAGCGGGCTCTGTTGCAGGCTATCGATTAAACATCGCGTCTTGCGGGCATATTGTGCAATTCCTATGATAAATAGTTCGGTCCAAATATCTACACAGGGGGTCAAGAAAAATTCGTTACCCCGAAGAACCCGCGACCCCGAACGACCCCGCGGATCCCAGACGTTGACGCGGCACTAATGTTACGCTCAAGAGACACCGTCTCGTTAAGTGAATGTGCAAGCGAGTCATTTTGTAAAATCCTGTCGAGATATTGCAATTAACCTTTGCACTCGAATGACGACTCCCATGCGATAATAAAAATTCCTACACCATTTTCCTGCGGGGCTCTCGCGTTGTTTTGTGTTTAGCGAATTGGGAAACGTGAGAGGATTTTATGGACAAATTGGCTGAATTTCATGTGTGGTTGTTTTTATTATTTTAATTTGGTATAGTTGAATAGTCGAACGACGCGAGGGAAGCCAGAGTTAATTCATTTAATGATCGAACGACGCGAGACAAGCGAGTGATGAAAAGTATGCGTGACAAAATGATATTGCGTGTGTGAAATTTATGATGCGCTTTAAATTGTTTATTTGATAATTTCACGAAACGTTATTGTCGACAAATTTCGCGAGCACAAGATTAATATGTCTTTTAAAACGAATGTACCGTTTAAAACTAGATAACTCAGTCTTTACTGAATCAAAATAAATGCTTTTAGTATCAAAATGCTTGTAATAATTATGATTTATAGTATTGTAAGAATAGTCTGTGTTGCACAATATTTTTCATTATTTTGCTTTTTATCGAATAAGATACCATTTTATTTTTATTTTATTCGTATACCGTTCGAATAAAAATTATTCGACGACAACGAAAAATATTGTGTAATTCGTTTGTTTAAACTGTTCTCTTTTTTAAAAAAATAATACAGTTTGGTACAATTTAATTAATGCGTGTATTAACTTCACTCAGTTTATATATTTTTGAATAATACAATTTGGTACAGTTTAACTAATGTGGATATTGATTTCACTCATTTTATATATTTTTAAATAATACATTTTGGTACAATCTAACTAATGTGTGTATTCATTTCACGCATTTTATATTTTCATTAATGTTTATACGCATAAATAATATAGCGGCCACGTTTAAATTGCCATACGAAAAACAAATTATACTAATTCCTTTTTTATCAAACTTCTAAAACCTCAGTCGAGATCGTAAAATTGTACTAACGACGTCGCAGACGTTTACAGAAAAAGTAGACAATGAGCAAAATCGCATTGGATAGATCACAATTTCGAAAAAATCCGAATACTCCATGTGTTATCGAATGTTTCGCAAAAAACAAAGACCCTTCGAGATGAATTTTATCGCGCGATTTCAAGGAAAACCGTTGTATTTATTAGCAACAATGCATTCAATAAACAATCGGCATCACGAATGATCGAACGTTCTAGGTATCGCGTGAATCGACGAGGTTGCTACAATCAGCGCAGATTAACATCGACCGATTACTTTTACCGCATCGAGTACCTTACTCGGTAAGGTAAGATGACAATGGAAACAATTATAACGAATTTATCAGAAGCGGAGCGTGATCTTTTTTTTCTTACCGTGGCTTATCGTGCGCGTCTCTTTTCGTTGCGTTACACCGAAGCGTATGTGCATTTTTCAATGAAAAAAGCAAAGCTGACGTGGCGAGTGCAACGAGGACGCAGTCAGAAGCGAGTGTGTTGCACTCGACAAGGACAAGGCGTGTTTTCATAAATTCTGTTAATGAAACAGATGCGTGTAAAGTGTTCCGCCGCCGTCCCGCCGTCGCCCTCACCCACCCTGCCAGTTTTTAAACGACGTTCGAGAACTTGGTGTGTTGTAAAAATTAACTAGAGATCGTCGGGTAACGCCTTTTTTGGATAATGTGAAAGCGTTTATGATTGGCTGTGGAGTGTCTCATCAATTACGACTGAAATGTGCATTCGAAAACGAAACGCCATCGAAATCTCTCTTTTCTTTTCGAATCGAGAATGTCATTGTTCAACGAATCATTTCTGTGTCACTTTTAAACGGAAAATGGTTTTGCATACAACATAATATATATTCGGACATATTTTAAAATTCAATGATTTTGCTGTGATTGGACCAAATGACTTATTTCTTCGAGATGTTAAAGCGATGTTAAAAATATTCTAAAGACATCGTTCTTTAAATACTTGTTGCTAAAGTTAATTTACTCATTGTCTAGTAAATTAGTCATTCTAACATTTCAAAGAATTTCAATTCATTTTGTCCTATCGTAAACAAGTTTTATCGTAAAATATTTTCCGGATATTATCGTTATTCACTGTACGTTGCAGTAATTTGTATCTTACTTTTAAATGTGTATTTTGTGAAATGCAGTGAAACGCAATAAAATGTAAGAAATAGTTCAAAGTTCTATTTCATTAATAAAAGCGTAACATCAATGCAATTCATTTTTCATCTGTTTTATCCAATTATTGTGATAAAAGGTTCATTATTTATTGACATATTTATGTTTATAATATTCGTATTTATATTAATATTAATATATTTATATTTATATTAGTATTTGCATGTATATTCACATTTGTATCTAGATTAATATTTATGTTTATATTAGTATTCGTATTTGTATTAATATTTGTATTTGTATTAGTATTTGTATTAATACACTTATATTTACATTAATATTTGTATTGCATTTATATTGACATTTATTTTCAGACACGTCTATAAATTCTAAA